ACCTCCACAACACAAACTGCCAACCAGTGCATAAGGAGCTACCCTCCATAACAGAGGCTCTACATGAGGCAAGGTGAGAAAGCTGAGAAATGGGCAAAAAACCTAACCAATGCCTGAGGCCAAGTGTGCCACCTCTGCTGATCCTGCCAGTTTCAATGACACACCTAAGACTGGCACTGCAACGCCATGCAAGATGACATCCACAAGTCCAAGCTCAAGCTCTCCCAGACTCTTAGGATGCTCTTGACCTCATGCCTTGGGCTAACAACAGCTATTTGCAGAGACAACGATCACAGCAGTGACAATGAGAATTCAAGAAGCTTTACAACTGATTTGGTAAATTCATAGAATCACAGGATGGTTTGGGTTGGAAGGGACCTTAAAGCTCATCCAGCTCCAACCCCCTGCCATGGGCAGGGACACCTTCCACTAGAGCAGCTTGCTCCAAGCCCCTGTGTCCAACCTGGCCTTGAACACTGCCAGAGGTGGGGCAGCCACAGCTTCTCTGGGCACCCTGTGCCAGCGCCTCAGCACCCTCAGAAATCAATCAGTTGGAGTCCAAGCGGAAGCAATGTCAGCCCTTTTGGTGCTCCCATCTTCCCAGGAAGCAACAGTGGTAAATCCAAACGAGAAGATGAATCAGAAACTTCTAGTGACACATCCACCCTATTCTAAAGATACAGCACAAACAAGAAAAAGAACTACGGGATCAGTGAAAGGGAACAATTAGCCAGCCGAATTTTCTATCAGGGGAGACTATCGAGACAAGAGCTTGGATAAATTAAGCAAATCAGGCATCTTGTAGTAAAAAGCATTTCCAGAGCTTTGTTAAAACCAAACAAGACTGCAAATATGAGCTCACGCATCACTAGGCACACACCACCTTCTGAATGCTTAAGGGTCTGACGAAAACTTTGCCCAGGGACAACAGCCCCACTGCTGCCCACTCCAGGCCTCCCTGGTGTCCCCCAACACAGACCTTTCCTGCGAGCAGAGGGTGCTGGGGTGCAGCCCTGGTTTATTCACAGAGCTGACGTAGCAATGCAGACACAGATCCAGCTCATACATATCCCTGTTTGGAGCCTGCATAATCATCCAGCTCAGCCCATGCAAAAGCAGTATGAGAACACCTTCTGTACAGAAGAAATTCTCGAGATTTAAAGTTTCAACACAAGCTAACAAACGCCAGGGATGAAAGAAATCCTGGGATGAAAGATCTCCATGACACCTGCTTTGAATAAAAAGACATTGCTACAAAAATATCAGAGACCTGCTGGTCTAGAGCCTTTGCTACATGTCATTCCCCAGACATCAATTTGCAATGGAGGCACACAAAAGCAGTATTACACAGATTACATGCTACTCCCCTGAACTGCAAACAAATCTACCCAGCACTACCCCCTCACCGTCCAACCACAACTGAACTAAAGCCACCTCCTCTCGCTGTTCCTAAGATGACTTTGTGAAGGATAAGGCTCACAGCTGGCTCAACACTCATCTGCAGGACTGACAGCTCCTCCTGCAAACTTCACCCCGGCTCAGCTTTACCAAATCCTCCCCAGTTTTCCCTTATAGGGAACGGATGGTACCAGCACTTTGGCACTGACAGCAGGACAGCTTATCCTTGGTTGGTGTGCCCTTCAGGCAAAACCCAGGCCCATCGCCTGGATGCTTAAATCTGTAACATCAGCGCTTTCTACACAACAACACAACACATGGTAATTATTCAATGTTTCATTGTAACAGTCCTAAAATCAAACGAGGGAGGTCCCACCAAGCCTCTCACAGAACAGACACATTACAGATTAGGTGGGTCCCTAAACCAGAACAGCCCAGACCCCTTGCAGAGGTGACATCACGACCAACTCAAAGGAAGGAGGAAAGAGCAAGGTACCAACAAAGCATGGCTCGCTCGGTTTTATGCTACATGCCTCATTTACTCACCGCTGGCAGCTTCCACAAAATCAGGCTCTCAAGCACCTGACTGCATACATAGGTAATGATTATAAAGCCAACTCAAGCGGGGCTAAAAGTACACAGAGATCTAGCATAAACCCAAAAAAGTGCAATTGTCTCCCAGGTGAAAACACAGGACTTGGAACAGAGCGGGTGGATTAGAGAAAAATCATTTTGCTCCCAGTCCTCAAAATATTGTTTTTAAATTCCCTGACAGACCCAACATTGTCCTTACTGGGAAGTACTTGTCATTTCACTCTGTTTAACATTCAGACTACACACCTCTCCCATGGCCAAACACAAACACAACCAGCATCTGCACAGCCCTCAAGTGAGGAGCAGGGCAAGGTCTGGAGTATCCACAGCTCTCCTCCCTGGATTCCACACAAGGAAAAGGTTATTTCCCAACATTGCTTTTTGTTTGTGACAGGGCATAAACTTCAAGGGGATGGTCTGCTGTTGCGCTTGAGGAAATCAGCACGGTTGGTTTGTTATTCTGATGGAAATCCCTCATTATCCAAGAAGTGCTGCTGTACTCTGTATGGATGGTTGTGTCCCTACAGCCAGAATGCCAGCCTGAGTGAAACCCCACTGCTTGGGAACACTTTCTCCCCAAGCCTCACCTGGGCCCTTCGTGCTCCTGCAAGCACATTTAAGCCTTTTCATCCGCTTCTTTCCAAAACAGGAAAAAGATGTGCACGTGATCGATCACAAAAACATCCATGAGGCACCATCTCAGACAAGGAGGGAGGGCACCACCAAAGCAGTGCCCCACGCAGACACACTCCCTGTCCCTGTCCCAGCTACGCAAATTAAAACCCACTGGCCACAATCTTCTCCCCTTTTTTCTAAACCCAAACCAGACTCCCCATGGCTCAGACTCAACGTTCAACACCTCCAAAAGGCAACAGCAAGCACGAAAATGGAAAAACAAACCCACAAAAATACCCCCCTTTGCACCCCCCAAAGGTGCAGAAGGGGAAAGGGGGACGAAGCACATGGGGAAGCCAGCCAGTCGCTCCCCTTTTCTGCCTCCCTTTTATTTCTGCTGAGTGTAGTAACACTTGAACTGGCTCTCTTTATTTGCAGCCGGATACACGCTTTCAAAGATACTGTACTACTGTGTAGGCCAAGCAGGGACTCTCTTTCTTCCCTCCGTTAGGGCTTTTGGGAGAAAAATAATTATTCACCAGAACTGCCATCGTGAACAGAGAAAGCTAAATCAATGTAGCTTTGTATGGGCCATTGCCACTGCAAAGCAAATACTCCATCAAGCCATGGATCAGTGAGAATTTTATCACTAGGAATCCTTACGCACATCTTTGTGTGTTTTTAATATCCCTCTTATTACTCGGTGTGCCCCCTCCCTCCCTCCCCCTGCTCCTGCACCCTCCTCCCCATGGATCTGTCTTGTGCCACTGGCAGCTACAGGGCTTGGCTGGGAGGTTCACATGCTCAGTGGGACCACCTCAAACACACAGCCAGGTTTATCCTCTTCAAAAATATAAATAAAGCGTTGGTGCAGAGCAGATGTATTCACTGAACAGGTTGATTTATTTAAGAGACTTGACATACATCAAAACCTACTATGGGCTTACATAATTGTTATCCATTTAGCAGGTCTGGTTCTTTTGTCAAGTATTTGTTTTTAAGAAAGTGATTCACTAAAGGCTGCTGCCTTACGGTGCACATTACCTTAAATGGGGTCTTGCGCAGGGTGTTAGCTGAAGTGACTTTAAATTGCATCCTACCTGCTCGAGCAGCGCTGTTATTTTCTGTTTCTGTATTCTCCCCTTCCCTAAACTAAGGAAAACCGAGCAGCACGGCGTGTGTAGAGGCACACACACACAGGATCCACTTCCCAGCCGACTCTTTGCTGTGGGCACCGCGGTTACCGCATTACCACGCTGCTCCAGCGCTAACAGCAGGTACCTCCAGCACCGGGGAGGCACATCCGAATACCAGGATGTTGCTGGCTGAACGGAGGGGTTTCGGGCGAAGGGACGAGGAAACAGCCGAGCGGAAGCGGGGGGGGGGGGAACCTCAGGGAAGGCTTCGGAGCCACGGAGCCGTTTTGTTTTCACGCAGGAGGCTCATTGAGGCCCCGGCTCGCACAGGCGCATCGCTCCCCTCCGGCCTCACGCATCCACCCAGCCGCCGACCCCCCAGAACACGCACCCATCCTGCGTTGTGCCGCCGCTTCCATCGCCGGTCCCGCTACAGCTTGTTTGGGTTAATACATCACCAACCGCACCGCAGCAGCTCGTTTGGGAGACGAGGGTTTCATTATCCATCCCCTCCCTCCCCTTCCCCGTTCCAGCATCTCCACGCACACACAGGTCACACCGCGCTCGGCGAGCACCGCACGGGCGGCTCAGCGCTGACAGAGGCACCGGAATGAAGACCGCACGGACCCAGCTCTCCGCCGCTCGCCAGACAGATGGTTAATTATATTCACAGCCGCATTTTGCGCTGGGATAGAGTTTCAGACAATGAGCCGGGTCCCCGCGACCAGCCGGCTCCCCAGTCCGACAGCGCAATGACAGCTACTTCAGCGCTGCGGCTTATTTCGTATTTTGTGGGTTAAATCCCACCCCATCCCCCCCCATTCTCCGTTATTTTTTGTTCACTGCGCGCACCCCCCCCCCCCCCCGCCTCACACCGGGGGGGTGCCGCGCATCCCCGGGGCGCTGTGGGGCGGCGCCCCCCACCCAGCGCGGCACCTGCCCCGGGGCGGGGTGGGGGGGACACCCGCACACCACACACACGCCCGGACGCAGCCACAACTTGCGCGGCGCGGCCGCTTCACCCCCCCCCCCGCCCGTGCCCGCCTCACACCACACACACAGACACCACAGAACCGGCCGCCGCCACAGCGCAACTTCCCCGCAGGCCTCCGCGCCCCGCACCGCCGCGCAGGCCGGCGCTGCCATCAGCATCCCCCCCCCCACCCGCCTCCTCCTCCTCCTCCTCCTCAGCCTCCTCCTCCCCACAGTGTGGGGGGGGGGGGGGGGGGGGGGAAGCGCCGCCGCGGCGGGACTCACCTCAGCGCCGGGCCCGTGCGGGAGGCGGCGGCGCGGGGCCGGGGGTCCCCCCGCCCGCCAGGCGGTGTCGGCTGCGGCGCCTCAGCGCTGCTCCATGCGCCCGGGGCCCCGGCGCGCGCAGGTGGACGCGCCCGCCCCTCCCCCCCCACCCCCCCCCCCCGCGCGCGCCGGCCCCCGCCCCTCCCCCCCACCCACCCACCCCCGCCGCCGCCGCCGCCGCCGCCGCCTCAGGGCCCTCGGCGGAGCCAGCGCTACCGGTACACAGCGGCCGAGCGGCGGATCACGGCCGGGACCCCCGCGGCGCGCCCGGCACCGCGCTCCCTACGGGGAGGGGGCGGCTCCCGCCTCGCCCCGCAGCCGCCGCCTCCTCCTCCTCCTCCCCGTCCGCCCGTGCCCATTCAGGAGGTGCCGGGCAGCGCCGCCGCTGCCATTGTTTCCCTCAGCAGCGGGACACCCCCCCCCCCCCCCCCCCCTTCAGGCCCCCGCCGCTCGGCGGGAGCGCGCACCGCGTCGCCACCGGGCATAAAGGGCGCGTGTCCGCGGTCCCGGACCCGGCGGCGCGGGGCGGGGCGGCCTCACCTGCCGCTGGGCCCGGGGCAGGTGCCGCTGCGCCGGGAGGGGAAGGAGGAGGGGCAGCGAGAGCGGGCCGGAGCGGCGGCGCGGGTAGGGCAGGGGCAAGGGGAGATGGGTGCCGGGAGGAGGGCGAGGCGAGAGAAGGGAAGGGAAGGCCCGGCCGGGCTGCACCGGTCCGTGGTTTACAATGGAGCCGGCCGAGCTCCCCCCTGCGTGCGGCCGCGGGGCTGAACGTGGTCCCCGAGCACGTCTGTCAATCCGGATTAATCCCCTAAAGCGCAGTGGATGCCAGAAGTGAACATTGGGAAAGGGACGGGAAAGCGGGGTGAGGGGTGGCAACAGCTCTTCTGGTTTATTTTCGTTATCGCGTTATTAATGCGTAACAGCTTCTAAAACTCTGCTTTGCCTTCAGATGTTCATTCAAAGCAAGAGGCTGCCTTCCCTCCAGCTTGCTCAGGACTTGCCAGATGCCAGGGGAAGGCAGGGACGTGGCAGACGCTGCTTTTGCAGAACAGGAGGGCAAGAGAAACAGGCACCGAACCCGAGCTCATCAAACACAGCCCTGCTGCAGGACCCCACAACAGCGATTGGTATCGCAGCCCAGTCTCTGCTCCGTGACACCCCCAGCGCTGCCAGCCTCAGATTTACTGAGTTACTGCACTAAGGACTGCATGTTATTATAACATCTTGTTTACCAAATAGAAAGCAAACCAGACACGAGTATTTTAACTGCAATTGGAAAGAAGCAAGATGAGGATTATTGGTTTAATTAAATTCACTGTGATGTTCCTGTTCTTAAGTTAGTACTTAAGCTTATGCAAAGTTCTGCTGCCTTTCATCCTGAACAGTAAAAAGTTGATTTAGGTAATACCATGACTAAAATTATCAGGCACTGTAGTCCTTGTTCTCACAGCATCGGAGAGCCCTGTGTGCACATGTAGTAATAAAACAGGAATAGCATATAGCAACATATGCAATGCTCTCTGAATTCAAAACACTTCATACACCAGCTTTCAGCACTGCAAAATAAGCAACTGATCTCATTTGTTCTGCGTTAGCAGCCAGGATATGCCATAGATGACATGCAAATAAACAATTCATTCCCACTGCAGCAGGGCACGCACCCTCCTGTAGAGACAGAGGCGAGCAGCAAGCAATTGGACTAAGGCCACAGAGTCACAGTCACAGCGGTGACACCTCCCAGCCCTGTCCTGAGTTACAGTTTTCCTCACAGGCATCACCACGTTGCTGCAGAAGTCACACACTTCAGTCCCTTTGCATATGTGTAGTCACAGTGCTGCATTTTATTTCATTCACCCATCGTTTTCTTGACAGAAAGATTGAAGTAACATAAATGAGTAATTAATCAGGGTCAGGTGAGATGGCAACAGTCACCCGGCAATGCTTGATAAAATAAACATGGAATCATGGAATGGTTTGGGTTGTAACTATGTGCCTGGAAGCACCAGGCCACAGACTCCTCCGAGTGCCTTCGGAACAGAGGCAGTGGCTGCGCTGTGTGCAGGGAGCCTGGCAGATACAACCAGCTGCAAAACACAACGACACAGATCAGATGCAATGTAAGTGTGAGGAGCACCATCATGGAGATGAAAAGCCACATTCCATTAAATAAGCACTGCACCTGGATCCAGTTTAGAAGACAACCCAAGTATTTAAATGCTGTCTTTCAAAGAGAATACAAAGTTCAAAGATTATCTTTGTAGCTGTGGTAGAATATAATCCACACGCTACCCATTTAAGGCACTTCAGTTACAGAACTACCACAATATTAATCAATCAGCAGCATAAAATCCTGCACAGCATCTTGGGCAATCTGAAAAATTAACAGTCTGTGCACTGTGATCTTTTTATGTACTGCTACAAACAGATGCAAGAAGTGCACTGACATGATGGAAGTGCAGCTCCACACCTCACCTGGGTAGTGATTTTCCAGGCTGTCAAATGAAGAGACTCACAGGTGTGAGAGCAAGGTGAGATCAACAAGCCCCAGAACGAGGAGCAGCCGCGATGCCTCGCTCTGCCCTGCCGCACACCCTCTGCTCCCCTGACCTCCCTAAGGCAGTGGCATCAGTCACTACAACCTGTGAGACAGACCACATCAGACATTTACATCTGTCCCATCCTCCCGGCTGCCTCCACACAAAATCTGTGTGCCCAGACACATGTGGAAGGAGGAGTCAGAGTCTAAAGTAGCAGAACCTGAGTTATGGCAATAGGCCAATGCCATGGTGCTCTGCAGTTCTCCAAGCACCTATTTCCTGATTGTTCCTTCTTATTCTGATGCCTAATTTTCCTGAAGGTTAAATCCTTAATTTGGCACTACTCACTCATGCCCCATCCCTGGGGCCCCAGTGTCCAAGGCCAGGTTGGATGGGACTTGGAGCAGCCTGCTCTAGTGGAAGGTGTCCCTGCCTGTGACAGGGGGCTGGAACTGGATGAGCTTTAAGGTCCCTTACAACCCAAACATTCTGTGGTTTCTGCCGTATGCAGCCCCTCTGCTAAACAGTACTGGAGAGAAAGGCAGAGGTTCACAGAAGATTCTGGTTTGCCTGTGGCCCAAGCACAACATGAATGTGATTTTCAAAGATCTCAAATCCTATGCTCCTGAGCAAGCCTGTAAAACCCAGTTCAAGCAGGAAGCTGCACAGATGTTATGAACTTTAAAAAAGCTGGAGCAAAAGGCAGCAGAGTACCAGGAGACTTCACCCTCCTGTCCCACCCCACCACAAAAAGCTGGAGAGAATTTCTCCCTGCACTTCATCAGACTTTCAGGACCAGCTTTTGAACATGAACAGTGTAACGCAGACTGCTGGCAGAACAGGAGGCACCCCATGCAGGGGGAGCTTTGATTTAGGTGGGTGAGGGACTCACCCTCCCTCCTCCTTCCTTCCTCCCCAGGTCCAGATGTGCAATTCAGAACTGGCTGTATGCTGCAGGAAATAATGCTGAGCCTGCAAACAGCATTTTATTCTTATTGAGGCTGAAGCAATTCCTGAAGAAGAAACAGAGCTGGAATCATCAAACTGTCATATACTGAATTTCTCCTTCCCTGCCTGTCACACCTGGCAAGCCTTAGAGCTTTGTCAGAAAAACATCAAACCTCTTCCCAAGACAGTTGTTCATTATGAACCCCACTGATTGCAGAAAGGCTCCCACAACACTCCTGTCTCTTTGTGTCCCCCTTCCAGCATGCTGAGAGGAGCTGGAAAAACAGTGCTGCTGTCTAGTCTGTACCTTCTCTTTGCCCTGATGGGTGATGTAAAAACTCAAAGCTGTCAGTGACCTCTCTGGGCAAGACAAATTTCCAACGTGCCTGACCAAGCTATAGAAGGCAGGAGGTAAGGAGGGTCCCACAGCAGATTCGCAGGCTGCTCCATTCCTTGATATGCCTCTTGTTCCACTGGTCAATCCCCTCCACCTCAAAAAAGCCCCAACTCTCCCCTGTAACTCCTTCACAAGGCTAAAAACCTCATTCAAGTCAGAAAGCTCCAGTAGGTTAGTAGCCTCTGAGGCTTCCATGACTCAATACAACATTCAAGTTGTGCTACTGATAGGCTCTGATGCCCCCATAAGTCCCCATCTATTTCTTAATTTCCCTTCACCTTCCTCCCAACATTTCAACTTTAAATTGTAAATCTTTGTTTAAATTGTGCATTAAATGTCTTACCACATTTCCACAGCCAAACACCTCATTATTGGTGGCTTCTGAACAGGAGGAAATAAAAGCTTATATTTGTCCCTTGGCCAAGACAAATGCTTTGCGGACAGAAGGCTCTGTGTTCTCTCATTTCCTTGGCAGGACTAACAACCTTGGCCACTTCAGGGGAGCCTACTGCATTAGCAGGGGGGAAGGGAAAAAAGGAACAAGCAAAAACCAATGAAAACCAACCAGCAACAACAACAAAAGGCTCCAGAATGGTCTGGTGTGGTTGCAGTGAGACAGAGCACAGGTTAGAACAAAACCTGGAGACAGCAAAAGGATCAGGGTATGTTAGAATGGAGAACTGAGGTGAAGGGAAGAGGGGCTGGTCTGCTGAACAACAGCTTCTGAGACAGCACAGCCAACTGCAGCAGCAGAGCTGTTTGGCTCCTGATAGCCTTCAAGCTGAAACTCCTGGTGCTGTATCACCATCAGGGTCCCAGAGCCCCTTTCGCACCCCTGCATCCTGTGTCCCATCAAGTCAGAAGGATGAGTATGAAACAGAGCAGATAGATCATAGACTACCAAGGTGAAAGGGACCTCAAGGATCATCTGGTACAACCTTCCTTGGCAAAGCATGACCTAGACTAGATGGCGCAGCACCCTCTCCAGCTGGGTTTTAAATGTCCCACCACCATAGATGGTGTTCACTCCCTTGGTTGAAGGTTCCTGCATTTCTGTACAGAGCTCTGGAGTTGTGCAGTGAGCCCAACGCAGCCTGTGCACCCCATCTACTGCTCAAGCATCAATCCTTGGTCCAGCACATCTCTGGAAAAACTCAGACCTGCCCTGGATTCGTTATAGATCCACTCACAGCAGTAAATCTAGTGACCAGATGAGGGTGGACACCTCTGCTATGTGCACTGGACTAACGAACTGCAGAAGATGCTTCTGGATACTCCACAGTCCAAACCTAGTTACTGCTTTGGCCAAGCTGGTGGGCATCAAAAACTCTTGGATGAAGATAGAGGACTCTGCTAACAGGTGAAAACACAGATTTTGTTTAGCATTCCCACCTCTCATATTACGTTGTTCTCTGTTTGGGGTGGGCTGCAGGAGAATGGAAGAAAGTTAAGTCCTGTTTATTGCTGATGGAGTTGTTACGAGTTGTGTTCTAGTACGTGATTTAATTTCTTTAGGAAACATTAAGCTCCTTATGCCTGGAAGCACCTTCTGCTTTATGCTCTTGCTTCAAGTATAGAGGATGCTCCAGTAGTGAGCAGAGGTGATGAAAATGGTTGGAGTTAGTGCAGAGAGGGCAGCAGCATGATATGGCCACATAGGTTTTGCCATCCCAAGTGCCGCTTGGTCAGTCTTCACAAATAAATTCAATCTTAGAGAAATACCTAAAGGTAAATTCATCTTTGCCAGCCAAAGGGCTCTCTAAAAGGAATGCTCATGAAAACGTTCACTTTCAATGAACCTAAACATCCTTAAGCTATTTTCCTGAAGCACTGACAGCTTGGTGAGCTCTTAGTTGGCTTGCGGTTCACCTCTGCACCAGCCCACAGAATCACCAAAGTTGAGCTCTCACCTCTTTTAGCCCCATCTAATTATGCAACTTAACTACAGTGAGAACAAGAGTTTTGCTGAATATGCAAGAGTCTCGGCAGCATATTTTGATGCAGGGAGACAGAAGGAAAAGGCTATTTTGGTTAAAGTTCAAGCATTTCTATGAGGCTTGGCTGATGTGGAAGAGACAGAGCCCTCTGCGGTGTATCTGAAGTCAAATCCATTCTCCTTGTGTGTCTTGGCTCTGCCCACATCTACCTGAACAGAAAGCTATAAATCTTGGTCATTTTCCTACCCATTTTTCTTCAGGACTGTAGTTCATTAACTACAAGAAACACAGTTTCATTAATGTGCATCAACCACTGACTTTCCCATTACCACTGCTGTCTCCAATCAAAGAATCATTTATGGAAAACAAGGGCAGAGGGAACAACACGCTTTGGCAGCTTTAAGATTATCTGCCTAAAGCTTTGCACCCTCTGTCTTATATTTTTATGTTAAAGTATCACAAGCTATTACCATATTTTTCATTATTATTTGTGGCACTAAATGCTGCAGCACACAGTGCCAGATGGCTAATATTCAGAGGAAAAATAATGCAAGGCCAAGCTTAGAAAGGCTCAATGAGAACGTAACAGCATGTCTTCAGCCTACTTTCCTATTGCACGCAGTTAAAATATTAGCAGACTTAAAAACTGGGTTTCCAATTTAGAAGACTAACATACTATAGAATTATATACATGCATATATACATATGTTTACATATGTACATATAAAAAAGTTAATCTCTTTATATTTATTTGCATGTTTCAAGGGTCTTCACTCTTTAGAAGGTTATTTTGACCAGTAGAGAAAACCAAATCATTTCAAAATGCATTAAGACCTTCAGCAGACCCCTTTTTTCCAGAACCCCTTATTGGTACAAAATATATATTCTTTTAAATATATAAACAGCTTGAGTCCTAAACTTAACCAGATGGAAACGTGCCTACAAAGAGTTGGAGCTAATTCAGAAGAGACTGACAGCCAACAGATGAGCCAATTTAGACCATCCTATGCCAAAAATGGTCAATCATGTTATCTTATGTGTGACTCTAATCTGGCAGATGCCAACTCCATCCAAACAACTTCAAGCATCTTTTTGGAAGACAGGATTATTTTACACACACTTTAAAAAAAAATCATAATAATGCTTGATTTTGCTGGAAACATTCCATTGAGTTTCAGCATTTTTCAGTAGAGAGTTTTATTAATTTATTTTAAGGATAAATCTTTGGGGTTTTTTAATAGCCTGACAGAATAGCCTTTGTTGGATGGGGAAGCAGCTGATTAAAACCATACTAAACTGCAGTTCAGTGACAGTCCCCCATTTACTTAAATATTAATAAAAGGAAAGCTTTACACCTGTGCAACACAATTTAGTTTCTTTCTGTAGGCAAAATGGTCCCTTTCAGAAACGCAAAGAAACACGAGGGTAAGCGCAGGGGAAATGTACTTCCTGCACCTCTCACCATCACCCCCCAAATTAAGACTAAATTAAAACCAAAGAACATTTTCCTACAGTGAGTGATCACAATAAGTTGTTTTCTTACATAATTTGTAATTCATCGTCTTTCAGTGAATTTTATAGTGGGTTTTTTTACCTTCCAGAAGACACATTGACAGATGTGTCGTTCATCTGCCTCAGATGGTGGCAGATGACCTCTTCCTCTGTCTCACTATATCCTCTACATCCCCCTTCTAGGAAATACAGCACTTCTATGCCTACATTTTCTTCCTTCTTGCCCCTAATTTGAATGAGAATAGCTAAAAAAAAAGAAAAGAAAACAACCCCACACTAAGTTATTAGTCCACTCTGGCAGTACAGGACCATTCAATTCATTCTCTAGTGCATCGCATAACCTGTATTTCAGCCCTGTCTCTCCTCTCAGTTTGGTCTCTGTTTAAACTCAGCCTGAATTTTAGCTTTACACTAAAGCCCTAGGAGGTCTCAGGTGATGAGATTTCTCTATCTGTTCAATTGAAAGCTGCAGAAACCAGTGTAATCACTTTGCAGATCATCATCGTTGACAGGACACCCGGAAAGGCCACTTTTAAAGAGATAAGCATCTTCCAATCTACTGTTTCCAGCCAGAATCAGGTAAGGCTTTTCTTCCAAAGAGGAGCACAGCAGTCCTGCCAGATTGCCAAGAAGACACACCCAAACTGCAGGCTATCACATGCAAAGATGCGATTTCTTTTTCCATTCGTACAGTAATTGCATTGCCTGCGTGAAGTTACTGAACCTCACGAGGCACAGGGGAGTCAGGCCATTATCTGTGGGACATACTGCAAGGTCTCAATTCCCAACCTTTTTATAGTGCCTTTTGTGATGATTGCCCCAAGATTTTGAGATCTACAGACATTAATCTAGACTGAAGTCTAGACATTGGGAAGGTTTTAGAGATCCTTCTTATAGGAGAAGCATGTATTCTCAGTTCGGTGATCATTTTCTTACAGCGTGTCTGCTTCTCTTCCGAAGGACAGTGTCAAGATGTGTATGAGCGATGAGCCTGACTGCAGATGTTGACTTTGCACTGGAGGCATCTCTGGCACAACAGGTCAGTCACATTGAAGAGAGTCACAGATGCACTTCCCATGCATAGAACATGCATGGTTTCGGCAGATGAAAACGCCGGGGTTGAGGTAACCACACCGTGCTCACACCAAACCTTTCTCTAACTCACTATAGTTTGTATGTTATTGTTAAATCATAGAATCATCTAGTTCCAACCCCTCTGCTGTGGGCAGGGACACCTCACTCTAGACCATGTTGCCTAAGGCTCTGTTCAATTTGTCTTTGAACACTGCCAGGGATGGAGCATTACTTGTTTTGGTAACCTGTTCCAGTGCCTCACCGTTCTCACAAGGAGAATGTCAGTTTACTGTTTGTTATATTGTGCTTGTACCTTGGCAGCACATTGGGCTCCACTCTAGTGGACTTCTAAGACATTTCAGCTAATCCTTAGAGTAGTATTTTTAACACTTTCCAAACCCAACCACCACATCAAACCATATCATATGCTGCAGGCTCATTCACAAAGATCACTTCCCAGTCTGCATAGGGGAGCACCTTCAAGGTGGCACACAGGTAGGATCAGAGATGCTCTGTTGCAACCTTACCCAAGATTGGCAAGAAGGTATGGGACCCTTGGAAAGAACCACAAAAGGCTCAGTAATAAGCACTTTAGGACAGGTGTGTATTAAACCAAGTAGATGTTGCCTATGAAATATATCACAGAGAAAACTTTGTTCCACTGCAGCAAACCATATACTTCAGCCTCAGGGCGTAACAAACTAATCTAGGAAACAATCTTTTCTTGTAGAGAGACACAGCTCTTCTACTTGATGGGTCACACATACACATCTTGCACATTCAAGGCCTTTTACACATCAGTGACACACGTGTGCCTCTGAGCTGACAACTCCTCTAACACTGTCCATTTCATTTTACATTGTCACCGAGTTGCTTTGAACCATAAAGCATGTGCTCGCTTCCCATGCAGACAGCGCTGGGCACGTCACAGCACTCCACAGCAAGGACTCCATGAGGTTCCTCTCATCTCCTCTTCTGTTCCCTGCAAAGTTCACAGGCTAACTATTTTCACTTCATTATCTCCTGCAGTCAGAGAGAAATAATCTGTTGAGTAACTTCTTTCTCACCTGGCTCAAGTGTTAGGAATGTTGCATGGTCATTTATATAGAAATTCACCTGGGTCCATGAGGAAGACTTTTGGCTCCCACTCTGGAACACAACCACTCCATTTCCATGAAATATCACTTGCATCTCACTCCAGTCAACAGGAATAAAAGCACCCGTCTTTAACAGATGTCATGAACAGTTTCCAGATTGCCACAGCTTTCCAACGTTTTCTAGTTGATTGTTAGTACAAGATTCCTGTAAGTCATCAGCCAGCGATGCAGCCTCTTGCTCTGCTCATCGTGTTCCGACTGATGACGTGAGCTGTCAGACTGCAAACTCAAAGTTGTCAAATAGCTATAATTTGCAGACTTGGTAAAAGAGTTTCAAATTCCTTTGAGCAAAGGACTTCAGAAATGTGTTCAGTGGAATTTAGGGCCTGTGAAAGTCGGTGCAGTTTTCTAGATGGAGCAGGGTCTCCATAGGACAGCACAATGTCAGTAAAGCAGCTTTGGTCTAAGTCAGAGCCCGCCATTAGACATGAGTTTATATTCCCACTGAATGAATTACCACAGAACCTTTAAAGTCCAAGTCTAAAACCACAGTCATTGTAGGATTTGCTTTTCTAGACACCTATTAGAATCACTTGGACATTTATTTGCTAGAACTTCACTACTTTCCAGTAGATTAAGTAACAGCTAGAAAGCTTTTGGCCTTAAAATAAAGCAAAACCCACAACAGAAAGCATTTTTTGTCAGCTTCTGGGGCGGATCATACATTGCAAAGTAGTTTTCTGTATTCCCCTTCTGTTTTCACAAGCGTTACTTGCATTTGACTGTCAGCTACTCCTATGCTGACTAAATCAGATAATCTCAGTATCACAGTCCACCCTTGGTTGTTTCCTGTTCCTCCTATTAACTGTGGTCTCTGTGCTTATATTTAGTATATACATATGTACCCAGGGCTTGGTGGTGTAACACGATGGCCTTATCTGTGTAAATCAGGAGCTGAGAATTACTCTCTTGTGAATTACATACACATCTCCTACAAGCTTATACCAAATGTTCTAAGCACCCCACTCTGGTGCGTGTTGTACTCAAGGTGTGAGTTACAGGCTAGTGTGGGTAAAGTACTTTCCAGATTGTGGCTTAGAGCTGCTGCATGATGGAAGCATCCAGCTAAGCCTGACAGAATTATAGCACCAGATGTACAAACCTGTGACACAAAAAGCACAAAGGAAGTCTTAGAACCACTTTGTGGTACAGAGTATTTTGTGACTTGAGAATCCAACACCCAATGGAAATTCCAGACACCAGTTTTGGTGAAATTTGGAAATTCCAGTAGTTCAGGCACCAGCAACTGCTTTTAAAACCCATCCTGATGGCCCACGTGCTGCTAGCATGTACAGGAAACCTCTTGTCTGGGGACAGGTAAATCTTGCCCACGCTGAGATTCAGGAGGTAACATTTCAACATGGAGTTCTACACTTGGGGAAGGAAGGTTTCTGTGGTCAGCTAGAGATCTCCAACATCAAAAATTCTAGGGGATTGATAAGAAAGCATAAGGCTAATGGGACTGAATTCAGTCACCTCCCCATGTTACAGCTACACAGCACCCAAACACCCGTTTCAACAGGCAGGGATGCAATTTGCAGCAGCACTAAGCAGAGCTAAAGGGTTCTGGTAAACACTAATTTTCAGTGGACATGACATTTAGAATCATTCTCTCCACACTGAGAGAGCTGTGTGCATGTACCACTCTCTGCAACACTACCTCCGACTGTTTTGGAAGCACTGCTACACAGAGATGCTCCTGAAAATTAGATGCCTGTAGAACTCAATACAGAAGCCAGAGTGGACAAAAGCCAGCACTGAGCAGGCTGCTGTTGTCAGCTCCCTCCTATTTCAGGCTACTTCCCTGTCCAAACTGGAAAAGCAGATGCTGTGGCAAAGCTCCCCAGGCAGTGTTTCATAAAGCAAACCTCTCCCCACAAAAAAGATGTGGCAGGAGAGGTCCAAAGGTAGCACAAGGACCTTCACTGTGCAGCATCTCACCCCACCCCACCGAGGTGACCTGGTGAGGTCCTTCAGAAGGCAGCGCTTCTCTGCAGCATGCGAGGGACAGAAGCCATTATTTCAAGTTTACAGACAGGATTTAGGGAGAGTTACAGCCCAGATATGGGGAGAGGGGAGGAAGGACAGGGAACAGAGCAAAGTAAGGTGATGTTTAAGGAGAAGCAATCAGCTTGCATGCAAAGCTGCAAGAAAAACTGCTAGCAGCCACTGTTGCACAAAGCCAGGATTAGCATTCAAAGCTTGCAGTTAAGGGACTGAATTTAGAAAACCTTCCTTCCCCTCTAACCCACATTCACCTCTCATGGATTTCTCTTCCTCTGACATTTATATTTAAATGCTGTAAAAATACTGTTTAAAAAAGTCACTGCACTGAACGTAGGAAACCATTTGCTCAGGCAAATGACATTTCAGGAGCATCCTTTATAGTCACTCCATGGTCTAGACACATCACACAACACTGCACATCACTCGATTCCCTCCACACCCTCAAAGATAAACTTCAGGTGTTCCATGATGCAATTTTTCAGGTTACTAATCTTGTCAAGTCCACAGTCTCCACTTCAATTCCCAGATATATTCTTAGTCTGTATTATTAGATCTCATAGCAGCCTTCCGGTACCCGAAGGGGGCCTACAAGGATGCTGGGGAGGGACTCTTCATTAGGGACTGTAGTGTAGTAGGGTAGTAGGTTAAAATTTAGACAGGGGAAGTTTAGATTTGATATAAGGAAGAAGTTCTACTGTGAGGGTGGTGAGGCACTGGAATGGGTTGCCCAGGGAAGTTGTGAATGCTCCACCCCTGGCAGTGCTCAAGGCCAGGCTGGACAGAGCCTTGGGTGACCTGGTTTAGTGTGAGGTGTCCCTGCCCATGGCAGGGGGGTTGGAACTGCGTGATCTTAAGGTCCTTTCCAACCCTAACCTATGATTCTATGATTCTGTATTGTACACTTTACGCACACACAGAAGTCTGAATTCAACCGTTAAAAAGTCTAAAGTCTGCCAAAAATCCTTCTCTTGTTAATGCTGAGGGTGTTTATACTATTCCATTCTCTTGCTAATGCTGCAGTAAACCTCACCGTAACACAGCAGTGTGCGCTTGCAGCCCAGAAACCAACCGTATCCAACAACCAGATTCAACACGCAGTATCCCAGGTTGGAGGCTCTTTCCTTTAGCACCTGCAGGACAGCACACAGCAATAAAATATGGAGATGGATTTTTTACAAGGACTTGTAGAGACAGGACAAGGGGGAATGGCTTTAACCTGCCAGAGGGGAGACTGAGATGAGCCCTTAGGCAGAAGCTCTTCCCTGTGAGGGTGCTGAGGCACTGGCACAGGGTGCCCAGAGAAGCTGTGGCTGCCCCATCCCTGGCAGTGTTCAAGGCCAGGCTGGACATACACATGGAGCACTCCTGCACAGCACCATTACAAGATTTAAAGACGATTAAATGAAGCTTTAGGAACAACTGCAGGAAGTTCATCCCACTGCACCTGAACATACCCAGCCTGCTCCAGGATCTCCCATCCCTTCGTCCCAGACATACTATACACTCCACAAGTGGAGCTTGGTTGTTGTGGGGCAGTGACAACAGGACCGGTGGCTATCGCTGCTCTGGCTTATACAGTAGAACTAAGTGTAAATAAAAACAATTCCCTGCTTTCTCATTTGATAATGAGAATCCACAGTTACAGCTGCACAAAACCAAAATCCAGGCAGTAATTACACACAATGTCATGTCAAGGGCTCAAGGAAATACTCAAACCAGATCTACTTCTATTGTTCATAAGTTAAAGAGCTTACATTTGTAAAAATACAGTGTTTTAAAGTAAGAAACAGTCAAGCTTTTAACAAGGATTTGCATTCTCATCAGCAAGATGAGTCTCACAAGTGCTCTTCATGTGATTTTGCAGCTCCAAACACAGAAAATTAAGGGGATACAGAAGCTGAGTGGCAACAGAACTCAGGTGCAGTACACGAACTCACCTTTCTGATGGATCACCTGGAATTCAGACGCCTCATGCTAACCCACATCCCCATCAGCTGTTCTCTGCTTCACTCCTGTCACCAAGCACTGCAAACAAATGCTTTTACTGAGAAAGCCAATTCAGAGCTTCCCTTTTGGAGGGGAAAAGCCATGATTCCATAGCTGTTATTAAAATCACTGCTATTCATATTCCACACCACTGTTTCCTCTGGAAACTGCTGCAAAGCTGGAAGAGCCATTTTGACAGGACACCCATTTCTATTCACAAAGATAAATCCTTTATTTCGTAATAATTCTCTATACAGAGCTGAACAACGGGAGTCAGGGTAAGAAGTCTTCCAGCAGAATACTTACATGCTGGGATCTTAACCTGGCCTTTTTGGTTGTTCTTGAACATCATCTCACTGTACAACGTAATTTTTACATTTCCATTCTGAAAAGAAAACCTGAACATAACTTAAAACCTCAGTGGTAAGAGATGTAGGTAACGCCTAATCCATGTAACAGGAAACGCAGGGATCATCTCCAAGTAGCATATTATTAACATCCATTTGTTAGGAGCGAAATGACCTCCCCACCAAGCAGTGATTCAGTTTTCTAACTTGGAGGTTAGAATTTCTTGTCTTGTGTCTTCAAATCTTGTGCCTAATGAGTTTTTACATGGGAATTCAATTCTCTAAGCTCATAGTTAATACATGAATAGACACTGCAAGAAGCAGCCCCTTTTTAACACGCATTTTTCACAAACATGTCTCTTTTAACAACAGAGACTGGGAAGGGGGGGAAGGAATAAATGGCTTTTTCTACTCTAAAATTGCAGACAGATTCTTATAATGGTAATAACAACTTGGATTTTGAAAACCAACCAGCTAAAAGTCCAGATTATGGAAAGCTGCTGTTTGGAAAAGTGATGCTTAAGCTTAGAGAAGAGCAGAATCACCCAGATCCACAGAGGCCATGAAAGAGCTCCCAAATCTGTGTTCTGTAAGAAACTGCACAGCTTCATAAAGAGATGCCACATATACTGTCTTAAGAGTCAGAGCACTACAGCAGGAGGCTCTCCAAAGCCATTACCCTCCCATTCAGTGTTTTAAACATCTGCTTCTAATGCTGATGCTTGAGTCATAGTATATGAAAACAAAAACTAAAACCAAAGAGAGCACAAGCTTTACCTTCTAGCAGACAAGAAGTCACCAAGTATTGCTCTGAGGTGCCACTCACAAGCCAAACGTTAACACTCACCATGTTGTCTAAGACCTGCAAAGTCCATCCCCAGTGATGAAATGCACCAGCTCTCAGCTGAGAACTTCCCTTCACAATCAAATTTAGCATTAAAACGGCTTTTGGATGCAGACACCAAGAACACCAGCTTCTGTGCTCTCTGCTGGCAATTACTAGGATGTCCAAGCCCTACAACATGGAAACCTGATCACTGAGGGAAAACCCCGGCACTTCTCCATCTTTCAGACCACTGACATTCCTCATACTGGTGCCAAAGGAAAGAATTGCTAGGATTGCAATATTACAATTTACAGCCTTTGCACATTATCTGCTGCATACAACAGTGGACAAATACTCTATTCCACAAACTGGCTCGTGGGGGTGGGCAGGGACAACACATGGTTTGGTTTTTTATTATCCACAACATAGGAAAGGGAGAGGCTTCCTGAACAAAGACTTTTTAACAAACCTTTGCTAACCATTTCTAGCAGTTCAGATAACTGCAGCTTTACAGTCAACCTTAGCGCTGTCAGGAACTAAAAAAGGAGACAATTAGTGGAAAGAAAAGGAAGATTGTAAGCTCGAATCCTGAACTGCTGCTGCATGAACAAGGATTCGCTTTGCTTCTGCACTCCAAGGACGAACGAAAATAAGCCCTTGCATTCCATATACTTTTAAGATCATTTGTAACTGGAGATTGGCTTTTTCACCCATTATTTTACCAAAGTGAGTAACTAGCAGAAAATGTAGCAAAGGTTTCAGTCCCACTAAGGTACTGTTCCGTCTTTAGTTGCAGTGTGAGGGTGTAACACAAGGAAAAGAAACACTATTTGCGACTATGTTTCCAGAAGCATCAGATTCAGAGCTTTGCTGGTGCCCCCACTGAGAAATCCCGCAGCTGATCTACAAGCATAACTGTCTATCAGTGTAATCATACTGGTGTAATTCCCCAGGGAAAAAAGTTATTTTTCAACATAGGGAAATAGCTTTATTTTTAAATTCAACATGAAGAATTACACCAGAATAACCAGTGACAAATAGGGGGAATTTCCCTGAAGAGCTAAGGCCTAAAAATACAGCCTGTCTTGGTGGGTTGAAGTTGCTCTTGGCTGGACCTCAGGTGCCCCTGAAACCTCCCCATCAGTGCCCTCCTCAGCTGGATATGGGAGAGAAAATATAACAAAAGGCTCCTGGGTTGAGATCAGGACAGGGAGATCACTCACCCGTTACTGTCATGGCAAACTGGACTCTGTTTTGGGACATCAGTTTAATTTATTGCCAATTAGAGTAGGATAATAAGAAATAAACACATCTTAAAACACCTTTTCCCCACCCCTCCCTGCCTCCAGGGCTCCACCTCACTCCCAGTTTCTCTACCTCCTCCTTGAGTGACACAGGGGGACAAGGAATAGGAGTTTAGGTCAGTTCATCCATCACATGTCGTCTCTGCTGCTCCTTCCCCCGGCTCCAGCATGGGGTCTTTCCCATGGGATACAGTTCAGGAACTTCTCCAATGCGAGTCCTTCTCACAAGCTGCTCCAGTGTGGGTCCCCTCCACGGGGTGCATCCTTCAGAATCAAATGTCTCCAGTGCGAATCCCCTGTGGGGTCACAAGTCCTGCAGCAAACCTGCTCCAGCACAGACTTCCCATGGGGTCACAGCCTCCTTCAGGCATCCTCCTGCTCCAGCTTGGGGTCCTCCATGGGCTGCAGGGGGATATCTGCTCCACTGTGCACCTCCATGGGCTGCAGGGACACAGCCTGCCTCACCACGGGCCGCACCACAGGCTGCAGGGGAATCACTGCTCTGGCGCCTGGAGCACCTCCTGCACTGACCTCGAGGTCTGCAGGGCTCTTTCACAGTCTCACTCCTCTCTTCTGCCTGCTGCTGCTGTTGCACAAGTGTTCCCCCCCCGCCTTCCTAAATATGTTACCCCAGAGGTGCTACCATTGTTCCCGATGGGCTCAGCCATGGCCAGCGAGTCCACCTTGGAGCCATCTGGCACTGGCTCCCCCAGACAAGGGGAAGCTTTTGGCAGCTTCTCATAGAAGCCACCCCTATAGGCCCCTGGCTACCAAAACCTTGCCACACAAACCCGATACACCTGCAGTGTCCTGCAAATCACAAAGACTGAGGTTTCTTGCCACTGAAGAGGTTTTGACTATGGACATGAGGAGATTATTACAGCAATGCTTTTACCATTATCAAGGTCATTTTCTCATACATTAATGACATAATAGAAATTTATGGAAGTCTTTATTGAATCTTAATTGCGCCCCAGGACCACGACTGAAATAGAAAAGGGACTGAATTCTGCTTTGACTACTACAGCAGATGCTGAGGGTACAGAATCTTTGATTTCAAACTCTTGAATTTAAGGGCAGCTTCAAATTCTTCATATTCACATACAACATGGTGGTGGTTTTCTGTGAAGTCACAAAATACTCTGTCACTTGCAGATTCCTGACAGCTCTGTTAGTTCTCTTTTAGAGTAATCCCAATGCATGGTCTGATAGCCCAGTATGAAAGGTGTTTTTGAAGGGTGAGATGGCTAATTCCAGTATTTATTGCTACTAGAAGCCTCTGATATTTTGTGGGGCTTTTCTTATTCTTTACAAGGAAGAACATTTTAAACCAAAATACCACTGAAGAATTTATATTGCATTTTCCTCTCTAGCAAATGAGTTCAAATTAGCTCAATTAAAATTGTGACATTTATCAACCATTAATGATGAGAAATAATGTAAATTGAGGACAAATCTGTTTACAGTTTAATAATCCACCTCAAGCACCTGCCAGGAAAGTTTACCAATGCCTAAAACCTGCCATAAATTACACTCTTAGTTGAGAAGTCTGAAGTTTTTGAAGCAGCTCACCTCCTGCAGATGCCACTGAATATCAGAGATTCCTAAAGATGAAAAAATAGAACTCTTTTGGTTGAAATTATGTCCCTCTGAGAAACTGTAAAAACCCAAAAACTGTAAAACCCAGGGAGTTTTTGAACGCTGACTTAAAAACAAGAGCTTCACTGTCATCTTGTGCATCCTTAACCTCTTAGACAAGATTAAGCCGAGATCATACTTAGCATGAACAGTTTCCACAGCCTTTCACACTATTGGTGATCTCTTCCTCTAGTTTCTTCCTTTCCTCCTCTTTGGATATACGATTATTCCTCTCTTCCCAGTTCGGATGGTTATGACTATTGAGTACTTTGCTGCTCTGTGTGTGCCACATTTCATGGTAGAGATTGTTAGGACTTGCAAGGAGGTCTGTGTGTCTACCACGTTCCACAACTTTACCCTGTAAAAGAAGAGGAGTAAGTCAGCAATCAATATTAACAGATCCGTAGGAATGTAAATGCTTGTCACCCAAACCAAACGTATTTGTCTTTGCTCGATAACAAATACACACGAAGAAGCTAAAAGAGCACACAGGGAGGGATTTGTACTAGATTAAGCAAAACACATTTAAAATCAAATCCTAAAAACCGTTAGTGTAAATTGTGGTTTTAGATGGGTGCTCAGTAACTGGTGTCACTGCCATTATGAAAACTGAGTGAGCAGCTCGGTTCATCTGTGCTGTTCTCAAGAGCAAAGATGATGTATTGCCTATCACTGTGGAGATGGGAAGGAAGAGTTGGGGAGGAGAACTCAAATCCTACAGACAGCAAAACACCACCACTCTTCAAAAAAACAGACTCATCTTTTTACTGTGAGATACACATTTTACATTCAGCAACCTCAAATGAAAACAATGCACTCCTTCTCCAGCTGTTATTTCTTTTGGGAAAAGACAGCATTATACAGACAGCTACATGGATTTTA